ATTGAATCTGAACCCAAGCCTTCTTTAGCTCTACGCTCCTAGGTGAGGGATGGGAGCTGAGTTAACTCAACTACAATATCTTTTCTCTTCACTCTCTCCCTCCCACCCCATCTGCCTACCTTCTCACTTCCTCTCCAGCTGATTACTAACCAATGACTCCCCCTGCTCCACCCAAGAAACTTTGGAATGTCCCTGTCTTCACTGAGCTGGAAAATACCCTCTTTCTATCTGCCTGCCCTCACCTTGGCCTGGTCTATGGCACAAAAGAGCTTATTGAGTTGCTGGCTCCAGAGTACTGGCTCTGAGGAGCAGCCCACCCATTCCAGCTTACTTTGTGAGGCAGGGGCAGTACCCAGTTTAAGCAAGACCAAGAGGGAGGCTGGGGGTGGAAAAGCAGGGCCAGGAGGGACTTACTCTGTGAAGACCCCATCACTAGGGTGACCAGATAGCAAGTGTGAAAAATTGGGATGGGGTGGGGGAATAATAGATGCCTATATAAGAAAAAGCCCCAAATATCGGGACTATCCTTATAAAATCAGGACATTTGGTCACCTTACCCATCACAAACCTTTCCTTCGTCACAGGCCAGCCCTCCTCCTCCTCTGCTGGCTATTCACTCCAGGATGATTCCCTTTACAGAAACAACAGTCTCAACTAAAACTTCTCCCTTTCTTCCACCCAGATGCACAAACTGTACCCGGGCCCACATTCAAGCCTATTTTTCAGGCAGCTGTCCAGCATATCCTCCTCCCATTTCTCCATCTTCTTGACCACTTTCCTGGAAAGAGATGTTTTCCTGTTCCCAGGCAGACCTCTACTCTTGCTCCTGTCTGACACCACCACTTTGGGCATGATTTCTCGTATCTTTCACTCTTTGTTGCTTTCCTGCAAGAAGGCATACCTTATAAGGCTCCACAAGTAGAAGAACTGAAGTGTCAAAAATGCCTGAGCTGGTGAGAGCAGAAACAGTAAATGATTCTGAGAACAATGGGACTGAAAAGAAAGAATGAACAAAAGAAAGATAGAAAGAATGAATGCACTGTTCCCTTTGGGAAAGAGATCAAAGTTAAAGATATAGATAGGGAAGCTTGTAGATTTCATAAACACTTCTAGTAAGGGGTGTGAAAGGTGATGAATAGAAAATTAGTTAAAAAAAGAATCCAGACACTGTGGGGCTTAAATCATAAAAAGCAACTTCTTATGAATTTTAGAAGGGATAACAGAACCCTGTGGAGACTTCTAATAATAACTATAGGGTTTTTGTCCCTTCTTTTGTCTGCAATATCTTGAAAAATTAGGGGATGCATGTGTGGGGTAGATTCCATGTCAGTCTATCCCTCTCAGTCTTCTGTTCGCCTTCATCTGATTTTAGAAAATATGGATAGCCATACTGTGTCAGACCCAGTAATTTTAATATAGTACATCCCTGCATGTAAATACATCTCAGGAGATATCCAAAACTTTCAGATAAAAGGGTATTTGAATGGTAGGGAAGCTGACCAACTGCCTTAGGTAACTAAGGTTGCACTCTGGACCTCCATCCCTTGAAGGTCAGTTTTAAAAGGGCCATACTCTGGGTCACTAACCGGAGCATCAGGGGAGTTTTCTGGGCACACACTAAGCCTGGGGAACATAACCAAGTTTAGATTAACCAGAGTTGGGTTGTACACGGTTATACATTGTACCAGATGCCATTGTAAGAAAAAAAAAAGATCAAACAAAACGATTTATCACCTTATTAAACTCAACCATCTTCACGGCTTGTTTTATTTTTAAAAAAATTTATAGAAAAAATTTAAATAAGGAAACCTCACTAAATCTTGCAAGCCACATCGTGATGGGAAGGGTCCCAAAGTTTTTAGAAGGTGGCATTAGAAATGCCTTTTTAATTTGTAAGGACAGCAAAGAACTTTTAGATTCATCTGGATAGTCAAAAATATTCAGTAATTCAATAATCAAAATGTGAAGACTTATTGCTACATACACCTGCCCAAATAACTGTCACATCAGAACATGACAAGTATGTCCAGGCTCAGTTGCTATGCACATTAGTTGGATATTTCTTGTTTCTGGTACAGCAATTCAAAGTGAAATGGTTATAATTAGGTTTTAAAATTAATAGTCCATTAAGGTGACTGGAAGAAGTTCTCACTTCTCAATGTTATTGCTTTCGTTATTTGGCAGCAAAGCCAATAAGACACCATAGATTAGTTTACACCTTTGAGGCTCTGTCTGAAACCCAAAAGGCTAGAAACTTAATGATCTAGGCTTTTTCCCTTTAAATAAAAAAGATTCTTTAAAAATCAGCAAAAAATCCTTGGGTAGGCTACGTGGCTTGGAGAAAATAAGACTCTCCCTTCAACTCAATCCTGAATAAAACAATTTTTTTTGAAGATTAAATAAAAAGAATGTCTGATTCATTCTCATACCCCGTCCTTTTGCACACACTTTCTTTTCTGTGCACTTCTAGACTTCCTAGTCCTGGACAAGACCAGACATGGCATTGCTGAAATACAGTGAACAATAAAGATGGTTTCTTATGATATTTCCTGACCAAATGTCTGCAAGAATTATCAGAAATCTTGTGAGAGTTCCTGGTTTCTGTAAGATTTTTCCAGACAAATTCTGCAGACCCAAAAGTTTTGGTGAGTCTCAAAAAGCATCAGACTTGAAGGCCATCCAAATTGTACGTAGCCTTTAAAACTTTTCAAGTACACTATCACTACCTGAAATCCTCAGAACCTGTGGATTTCTGTTGTCCCAAGTTATCAGGAAGACTCTCACATAACTGAAACATATTTTGAACACTATTTGTGAGGTGAAATTGGAAAGATGTTCCCATGCCTAGTACAACCCAAACTCATGTGTAAATAATAATTTTATCTTTAAGAAAGCAGTCTGCATTTTAAGTTTATGAATCATATATTTCACTTTTATGGCTTGCTTTCAATAAGCTAAATCAAAGTATCCTATATAGTTCATGAAATACTTTCAAACTGTGCCCTGTCTTTAAATGTTCAGTTCTCATAAATACTTTACACATGTCATCATGATGGTCTTTTTCTCCTAATATATGTTCACTGAACTAACTTCTTTATTATTAGCATAATCTATCAAGTTAACTGTTTCCTGATGAAATTTAACATTCCAAATAACATTCCAAATCCTAAACTAGCCACTTCTCTTTTTGCACACTGAATACAAAACGGGTTTACTTAGCACAAGACTGACATTTTATAACTCACTTGAGAAAACACATAGACTGAGCCACATTCTGCACTAACAAATCCTCTGCAATCCCATCAACTTTAAGGACACAATGTGTGGTATAAGTCAGCACAGGATTTCACTTACTGAGGCCCTGATCCTGCTGGACCCTTATGTCCAGCTCCACTGAGGCAAACAGGTCTCCACAAGGGTGGATCGACTGGCAAGACAGTGGCCTTAATTTAGTTTTAGGTGTTTGATTTTAATTGATCTCAGCTCACTGGTGAAACAAATTTTCTAGTTTAGTCTACTCTATTTACTGTTTTTTCTAATTTGTGTTCACATTTTCTATTTAGTGGATCTCAGAACTGACATGCTGAAGCTAGACTCTCCAGAAAAAGTGAGATTTGGCTTCCTAACCTTCTTCACACTAAATTGCTTTTATTTTATATTATACCCTGTATCCAGTTGCAAACCCCAGCAATTTCCACGGAACAAGATACAGGAAATGTGTGTGAAATGTTTAGCTGAGTTCAATTTCCTTCCTCTCTCTCTCTCTCTCTGCTGAATTTTTACTCCCTAATGAAAAATATTAAACAAACAAACAAACAAGCTCAAGTAATGAATCACTCTCACCATCACAACACGAACCCAATGCTGTGAACCTATAAGGGATATTTCATTGTGTAACAATATATTCATCATCATGAATAAGAGCTTGTTTTCCCACGTATAGAATAACTGTGTTATCCTACCACAGACCACCTTGACCAATTCCATTTATATTACAATTTTCTTTAGGAATTAAAAAAAATATTTTAAAAAAGGCCAAAGAGGTTTAGGACCAGCTGCTTCTGTTTAAGCCCAACTGTTTCAGTACTGATGCAGCATAACTACAGTGTGACGTCATCTGAAGGCCCAGCAGAACATACCCTTAAAAATAAGTAGGGGTCTAGTCTCCCCTTTCTGCATGTACATTACCGCATCAGAGTGAATGGGAGTTACTCACAGTCAGAGAAGAAAATAAAGCTGGACGGAATGGTTATATTAGGGGAAAAAAATACAGGTTTCCCCATGGAAAGAGAGAACCATTTCGCTAATGTTAACATTTAATTTTGTTTCTTATAATTGTTTATAAGGCAGAATGAATATCCATTAATGATTCCTATTCATTTGTACTTAAGCCTACAGAGATGGGGATTATTCTTGTATCCTATTGCTATGGTTCTTTCCCTCCATCCATTTCTGTTTCTATGTATCGATGTGTATGTGTGAAGATATTTCTGTTGTATATAATTATTATATATTTAATATAATTCCTTGATTGGAAAGCTGTAGGGAGAAAAAGCTGAATGTCTAAAAGCTGCAGCTTATATACAAAAGTGTATATACAACACACACACACACACACACACACACACACACACACACACACACACACACACACACAAGAAAGAATAGACTATTATC